TTATTTTATTCTGCCTATGAAGTAAAGGCTTCAAATGAGTGAATAAGCAATAGATAGATTGATTCCCTGAATAGATTATTATATTACAATATCAGAATATTCCAGGCATATACCAAACAGAAATGGATTCTGTTTTAAGTTAGAAGAGAGTCTCTTTAAAAAGATTAGCGATTTGGGGCTGGAGAGATGGCTACTCTTCAAGAGGTCCTGAGTTCAGTTCCCAGCAATCACATGGTGGCCATCTGTAATGAGATCTGGTGCCATCTTCTGGTGTTCAGGTATACATTCATGGAAAACACTGTATACATAATAAACAAACAAACAAATACATCTTTAAAAGTAAATAAGTAAAAGATTAGCAACTTGTAAAGTTGCTGATCCACAATGGGAGGGGCTCTGCTCTCATGGTTTTCAGTTCTCCTGCTGTAGGGACCTCCAGGGACTGTTATTACGGGTTAAACAGTGTGGGACTGTTATGGTTCTAAATTCTAGTCTCGTGTTGTAGCTATGCCAGGGGCCTCTAATCTTAACATAGCTTGGCTCTACCTGTACTGTAGATGCAGATATAAATAGCTGGTTCTGAGAGCACACCATCTACCTTTTAAGAGCAAAACTCGTCCATCTCTATAATGTGTAAGGAATACATGCTTATTAATGGTCTGAAAAAATGGTCAGTTGCGTATTTTAAGTTTTAGTATACAGACTCCTTGTGCTTTCCAAATTAGAAATTTAGGACTATCTTATGGAATGAGACTAAAAAATAGGCATTTTCTTTAATTTCTGCACCAAACAAATATTTGTTTACTGTTCGTCAAGTCAGCACACTATTAGAGAATGAGACTGGGCCAGTGAATAGGAAACAGCCCTTGCTGTTAAGCTCCTGCTCCAGTAAGGAATACAGTTACATGTACAGGTTCCTGTAACAAGATAATAGAAGAATACTGTAATGGCCATTGGCTGTCTTATAAATAAAAGAGTTTCCCCTGGTTGGGAGGGAGGTGTTGTGTTTCAGAAGGGCCAGGGAGCTGATTGGCTGGGGCAGGTACTCACTATGTGTGATAAGTAAAGGTTAGAGACTAGTTTGGGAACATTTAAGGTACCTGGTCCAATATCTGTTATGAATTCCTTTGAAGTGGATATGTCTTAGGTGCTTGCTGTCTAATTTACTTTTAATGATGGTAACTTCATTGTGTTAAGTATTCATCTTGGAATTATTGATATTACAGCATAGATACATATACCTGTGCATTTAGAAACTCTGGGTATATGCATTTGTAGTGCTCATATTTGAACCTAGGGCCTTGAGCATGCTAGACAAACACTCTCTGACTGGGCTACATCCTCAGACCCATAAGAGGTATTTTGATAATGCTAGGCTCAACTTACCTTTATCACCTGGCAACATTATATTTCACCTAAGATACATGACATTCTGTTATTATATTAGTTTTCATTTTCCTTTAAGCCAGTAGCAGTTTCCAAGTAAGATTACTTTGGAGGCTGTTCAAAAATCATCTTGTCTTCCTCTTACCTCTTCAACTTTGAGCTCAGTAGGTCTTAGGCTAACTTGGATTTTCTCCTCTAAAGATGTCCGTGTGTTTCTGACAGACAACAGTTCTATCCTGACATGTACCATCATCAAGACCAGTAATCTCTGTACTATTACACTGTCACAGAGTCTGTGGCAGGCATATGGCAATTCTGGGATTATCTAGCAAAATTTAAGGGACTTAGAAAAGAAAGCTGAGAAGTATAATTGTACCATGGGTGTTTGCTCAGTGACTGTGCAGATGAACTATATATTATCTGAAAAATATACAAAAAGACTCTATGGGGCAGAGTATTGTGTGTGATTTTTCTAGGACCAGGGAACTTAGTTCTCTATATTCTCCTTAATTACTCTACCGTCTTGTGTTGTGTCTGGGGAGCCATGCTCCTCAGAGAAGCCTTATCACCACTCTGAAAGAAGGCCCTGAAAGGCTGACTGAGAAAGCCATGGGAATGCCTAGCCTGGAAGCTATTTGCAAATGTTATGCTGATATTTTTAAAAGTTGCGTGTGAAAGAAAGGAGAGGACAGAAATTTAGTCCCTATCTGTCAAGCCAGGTGAGTGGGTTGAAGTGACAAGAAGCAACTTTACAATCTCTCTGAAGTGTTCTCGGCACTGGAGGTGTAGAAGCAGCATGAGTATCAGAAAGGCTATAAGATCTTGACAGGTAGTGTGTGTAATAATTCTTCCAGAATAAAAATCCCCGTGGTTTGTGACATGCCTGTTTAATCATGAATGCTGAACATGCTCAGTGCATCTCACAGCACCTATTACAGTGAAACATTAGCGCCAGAGAAACAATACAGAAATCATAACGGTGTCATTAACCCTATAGTTTGAAGATGAAGCCTGTAATTCTGCAAGAAAAATTGATTGACCTTGGGCAGCTAGTGTCTTAATGTTTCTCAGGTGATTGTGAACTTCAATAAATGGTTCGCGTAAAGCTTTTACCCAGTGAATCTGACTGAGAGAATAGTCATTAAGTTTAAATCTGAAACTACCCAGAGGAATTATTTGAGAAATTAGTATTAGTATTTTATGTATTTTTGGTGGTAGTGGTTAGAGGGCACACAGAGTCTCCCTGTGTAGCCCAGGCTAGTCTGGAACTCACTTTGTTGTCCCAAGCTGGTCTTGGACAGTAGTGGTAGGATGGCTGGCATGAGCCACTTGGGATAGCCCTACTAGTCTACTTTTTCTCCTCCCCCACAGAACTGAGGACCAAACCCAAGGCCTTGCAATTACTAGGCAATCAGTCTACCACTGAGCTAAGTCCCCAACCCCCTAAGGCCTAATATTCTAACCATGATGCTTTTTAAAAATTTCTGTATCTGTGAATCTGCCTTCTCACATGTCACCATCCGTTCTTCACCCCACACTTACCATCTGCCTCTCAGATAGATGCTAAATATAGAAGGCAATATTTATCTGGGACTGTTCAAAGGAAAAATGTTTGACATAAGTGAAACACCTCTGATTAATGTCCTAAAGCATAAGCTTTTAATTGTCTTGACTTCAACAAAAAATTGCTTCAGGCTGGGGATGTGCAGTGGTTGAGTGGGGTCAGCATGTCAGAGCTCCAGGTTTGATTCTGAGCTCCCCAAAATGACCTGAAAATACTCATATGTCACAGTCTGCTTCCTTTTTAAACACAGATCATAAACACCGGCAATTGCGAGAATCAGCTTTGTTCTGTGTGTCTGTAAATAAATAGCTGTTCTTTTTTAAATTCAGGTAACTGGCCTTTGTTTTTAATTTTATGAGTGAACTTTTTTTTATATTTAACTACCTTTAAAGTTTTCATGGCTTAATCTTTTCTGAATTTGGAAAACAGATATTGAAGTTTGCTAAGAATTATTCGTGAAAATGATAAGGCTTGGAATCTATGTGAAAATAACCTTAGGCACAGGGTGGGAGGGTGGGATAGTGTCAAACTTATTAGCTGTTCAAGCTGTGTGTTGTGGGCATTAAGCAGTTAGTTCCGGATACTTTCTGTGTTTGCAACATGTTTGCAGATTTTCCTAATTTTTCCCCTTCGTCTCTGTATCTGTGTATTTGTGTGCACATAGTTGTGTGTATATAAGTAGATGTGGAGGCCAGAGGCGAACGTCAAGTGTTCGTCCTCATTTGTTCTCCACCATAATTTTCTGAGTACCTGATTAGCTAGCCTAGCTGGCCAGCAAGCCCCAGAGATACTCCTATCTTCACTTCCCCAGAACACCTCCTTGCCTGGCCTGTTTTAATGAATTAGCTAATTAATTAATTGTTATTGATTATTTTTGTTTTGTTTTTATTTAATTTATTAATTTTTGTTGTTTTGTTTTTAACATGGGAGCTGGGGATCAAATTGTGTTCTTCATGCATGCGTGGCAAGCACCTTACCCTGAACTTCCTTCCCAACCCTGGTTCTTGGGTTTTGTTGTTGTTGTTGTTGCTGTTGTTGTTGTTTCCGAGGCAGGATCTCCAGTTCAAAACTGACCTGGTACTCATTGGTCCACCAGGCTGGCCTTGAATTTCCAGTGATCCTCTGTCTCTACTTCTGGACTGCTAGGGTTAAAAGCCTATAGCACCATTATGGCTTAGTTTTTTGTTTTGTTGTTGTTTTATTAGTTTCTTTATTTCTGTGTGTCCACGGTGATAGGAAGGTGTCTGTCAGCACATGTGTGAAAGGTTGGAGGCTGAATTTGTAATCTTCAACCTGTCATTTATGGAAAAAATTGTCTCTATCTACAGATTAAGGTTTCAAATGGCTAATAAATTCAGTCTTTGGCCTTTGATTCCTGGACTCTGATTAGGGGTGTGTGTGTGTGTGTGTGTGTGTGTGTGTGTGTGTGTGTGTGTGTCTTTGGTCAGAACTGAAGAAGGTAGAAGGGTCTCAACAGTTAACAGAACAATACAAATGAGAAGATAGGTGTGCCAGCTTCCCCTTTTATCCTCTTTTTATAGTTGTGACAGTTGACACTCACAGAAATGGAGTCCACCTAGCAGCAAGATTAGTATTACAGTTAGCTTGCTTTGTAGTAAGAGTCTTCATAGACAAGAGAGCTACAAGATGGGGGAGTGGAGCTCAGTCAAGCACTGGCCTGGCATAGATGAGGGCCAAGGCTTAATCTTCAGTTAGGAGTTTGTTAGATGCCATTACAGTGTGTGCATTGCATTGCAAGTTTATATCTGCTTCTGTAGGTGGTTCCCGATAACAAGTTAAATTGGGTGATTTTTTTTTAATTCCCCGAGGGAATCATTGGAAAACTATTAATGTCATTTTTCTGTGGTTTTGTTTGGTTTTGTTTAAGTTTTGTTCCAATTCAATATTTCATTTCAGAATTACAAAATAATTTTGAAAAAGGAAAGATCATCCAGTGTTAACTTTTAATACCCTGAGATTGCATAATTAAACTTTTTATTCAATGCTGAGTTATATAATTGTTTCTCAATTTTCTGTCTTTATTCTACAGAATGGTAAATAAGGCTGGCCATCTTTGGAAAGGCCATTGATCTGCCTCATGTAAAGTATGCTCAGCTCCTTTCCAGTAGTGTAAGTATGTGATTTTCAACTCTTAGCCTGTCAGCCGATTTAGTAATGATAAGTGACTAGGATTGTGACTCAGATTTGATAGCAAATGCTTTTAGAATTCAAATAATTTTTTTAAGTGGCATTTGTTTCTTTATGTGTTGGGGGTGGTTGTTCATTTTGCTTCTCCTGTGTGTGGAGGTCAAGACAGGTTGGTGCAGTGTGGTACTCAGATCATAAGCTTAGCAGCAAGCATTTTTACCCTCTGAGCCATCTTGCCAACCCAAGAGCAAAGAAACTTTTAGAAAAATATTCAAATGGTATATTTCTTTGACATCGAGGTAAACAAGTATCATGAGGTTTCAAACTTGGGAGCTCTTTTGTCTGCCTTCCTTCCTTCCTTCCTTCCTTCCTTCCTTCCTTCCTTCCTTCCT